TTTTTTTTTTTTTTTTTTTTTTTAAGGTAGCTTACATTGCTAAGCGAATTTTATTAGTTTGATATATGAGGTTCTATATGAGGTTTTCTTACAGTTTGTAATTACATGAAGAGTATACAACAAGCTACATATATAACTTTAGTCATTATCTAATTTAAGTAGTCTGCTATGCAGGCATTAGGCTATCTGTTAGTACTACACTATGCTACTATACCTGTAATTTGCCTGTAGGTTATCTATTTAAACACTCTGTTCAACTAACCTATACCATTACAAACTAATATCACTATAATATCTAACTACTTAAACCAGCTAGTTCATTGCAAATCTATTTATTGATTTTAGCTTAGATCCTCTCAGAATACTTGTACTCAACATATTATGAGCTTTGCAGAGCTCTAGTTAACTTCGAAGCAAATCTACTAGAGTGACCTATGCCTATTTTATAAACTTATCTAGTTTAGATCTTTGCGATATTTGTATGACTCTAGTTCTTGCTATAGCTTTTTACTGGTGTCTGTATTCTCCTTCTTAGAATATTTCATGAGACATTCCTTCCAAATCTAGTTAGCTACCAAGCCAGGTTGGTGTTGCTGATCCTCTACTACAAACTAGACTTACTCATACCTATCTCGATTTAGCTAAATAAATCTATGAAATAAATATAGACTATATACTCCTGATATTAATCAGAGCTCTGTAGCTTATAATATATTAAACAAACACATCTCAAGACATGTAGTAAATAGATTCATAGACAAGTTAGCTAGTTTAAGTAGTCAGATATAGTAGTGACATTAGTTTGAAATAAAAAGAAAAGTTAATGATCAGAATATTTAAATAGGTAACTTATAAGCAGGTTGCAAATATGATAGCATAGTGTAGAACTAACAGATAGTCAATTGTCTGTATAACAGACTATTTAAATTAGATAATGACTAAAGTTATATATGTAGCTTGTTCTATACTCATCATATAACTATAAAACCTTAGGAGTCTACTTTTGTAATAGTTTCATAAAAACAAACTAATAAAATCTAATTGGTAAAAGAAGCTTATCTTAATAAAAAAAAAAAAACAAAAATGTATATTTATCAGTAGATTTTCAAATAACGGAACAAACGAGATACGAACAAACTATTTTAGTTCTCAATTTGCTATGTTGTAATTACAAAAAATATCATTATAGCAATCAAAATTCTGTCAGTGCGTAGTAAACATTTCTCATATTTACATTTATATTAATATGTAAGCAATGCAATTTATATATAAAAATTATAATTATTTTTTGCAAACGACATCAATTACATTTTTTATAAAATTGTTATAAGGGTTATATATGTGCGATTCGGGCGATAAATTCGCATCTGAACCAGAACAATAATTCGACCTTTAAGCGGCTTCCTCCATTTGACGTATGATCTGATGCAACTCTTGAACTCGTGCGGCGTAATCAATTGGTGCTACAGCTATTACAGTATACCTAATTCTAGATTGCTCCTAAAATATGAAATATATTCGTAAATTAGTAAATACTAAATGCGCACATTGGATCGGAAATTATCCGTCTTGTCGAACTGGCAATTATCTGATAAATTCCACGAAACCAACACATAAAATCTGTTTATTGTTATCATAAAGTCCTTTCCGAATAATTAATGAAATATTAGATAATACACTCACATTATAATTTTCTGTCTTAGCACGACATCGAAACACTAAAGATTTTAAACTCGCCGTATCAAAGCATCTTTCATAAAAGTCCACATTTTCATCCTGTTAAACCAAAATTAGTAAAGTTGAAAAGTTTGTACATAATAATATAATAATAAAATTATTAAAAGT